AGTTGTGTCATTTGTGTTATAATGAACCAGACATGTTTCATCTCCTGTCTTCTCTTGTGACACCCACATCTTTCAGTTATCTATTCAAGAGGGCAGGATCACAATGCTCTTCCAATTAATCACAAGTTGCAGAACTTAATATAGCTAAAGTGTCTGCTTTGATGTTCTGCTGCTCCTGGGAACAAATCAGCTAAGAAACTGAAAATCTGAACGCAATATGAGGTCATTTATTTATGCTAGTTATTCTGCCCAGTCAGAAAAAGGGTGGGGAACACAAAGGGGAGGGGAACAGAAATAACACAGCAATAGTAGCCGAAAGAGACCAAGAAAGGAATTAGTGGAAATAAATGTAGTAGATCAAAGTCTTTCACATCTTATCCCAATTCTTGTCTAGTTAAAAAAAGCATCACCCTCAAAAAATGATGGCAGGGACAGCATGCTCAGGGGAATCCTGAGATTTCCAGAAATATATACTAAAACTATTTAGAGAACAGAAAATGAAAAGAGCAACAATCTTCTGGAATACAGAGTGCCGTTAAAAAATGGAAGGGAAATGAGAGAGAAAGGTAAAGGAAACAAAAAGACAGTTTTGAAACCAAAATGTAATACCATCTCAGAAGCCAGGCATCCCCTCAAGTTGGCAAGACATTTTCAGTCTTATATACCAGGGGAGGGCAATTAATTTTCCCAAGGGGCCACATGAGAAACTGGGATTGTTATGGAGGGCCACCCTTCTCCCCCCCCCCACACACACACATTGTAGGCCAGACAGGGACAGTCAAAGGGCTGGAGTGGCCCGCGGCCATAAAATGCCAGTTCTGCTAGAGACACATGTTTCTTCCTGCATTATTTCAGTTCAGTTCACATTAATCTTTAGTATTCAACTTTTCACAATACAAAAATCTGATCTCTGTGGATTTTCATTCAATTTGTAGGAGAAGAGAATCCTTCCATATTAAACCAGGGACAATTTAGGCACAAGATCCTTTTGTTGGGATTGTGTACCAGAAAGAGTTAGTGGAATTCTCAGGTATCCCTGTCTCTGATTAAAAGGAAATATTAAATTACTGTTTTCTGCATTAAAGATAACCTATTTACTTAACACCCACAATAGGTCTACTTAGAGCCATTCTCCTCAAATGACTTTCCTGTCTATTTTGAACAATGAATTCGGACTGCACCCAGACATGAAAACAAAAGAGATTCAGAACTTTTAGCCCTGTTTTCTTGATCTTCAAGTTGTATTAAGTTTGTTTAAATAAATATAAGGATGAAAAATAATGGCATTAGAGATAAGGAACAAAGAGGGAGGGAAGGAAGGAGGGAGGGAGAATATTTGTGAAAGTTTTGAGATATTTAAATAAATAAACAAATCTACAGTTGTGAATTTCCAACATGCAAAAAAGATTTATCGCACTGACAAAAATTAAAAGAAATGCAAATCAGAATGCCTCCAACTAGCATTTTTCCCAATTACATATAAAATATATTTCAAAATTTGCAGAAAAAGTCCCTCAGATCCCTCCAGCTGAATGCATACTCAAGTATGGTATCCAAAAATTAGAATAAAACTGCTGCCTATAACAGTGTTTCTCAACCTTAGCAACTTTAAATTGTCTAGACTTCAAGTCCCAGAATTCCCCAGCCAGCTGTCAAGACTGAGAAACACTGGTCGATAAACTTGATGAATACTGGTATAGACAGAGGTAATTTTACTCTTTTTTGCATTTTCTACAAAGAACAGGGAATATAAGGTTAGCTAGCACAATCATACAGCCAGCATGATTAACAAGGAGGCATGCTAGGAATTATAGTTAAGCAACATCTGCATAGCCATAAGTTTCCCATTTTGCTATGTCATGTCAAATAAAAAGTCTCTGTTTTATCTGTAAATTGAACGTGTGCCATTACTTTCAACTAAAATAAAACAAAACATAAATCAACTTTTAGCCAGATGACCAAGAAATGCCATTGGCTTAATAGTCCTTACAGAACAGAGGAATAATAGAGCAAATACACCGTATCTTGACCAATCAGCAGCGTTGATCACCAAGAAGATACTCAAGGAACAATTTGGAAACGCAGGTAGACCTTGGCTGTGACAGCAATTTTGATTAGGACTGCCGTTGCTAAGAGATGTAGCAGAAAAACACAATGTCATGTGTCCACATCACTTAGCAACAAACAATCACAGCTTTTGTTGTAACCCCAAGGTGCATGGGTTATTAGCTGGGAAGCAGTGGGGATCCCAGACAAAAAAGTGTGGGGGATGCATGTGAGCCCAAGGAAAGGATGCTACAGAACTGCATGAGTGCAAGGAGGCCAGATGGAGTTGCTGCTGGTTTTCCTATTGACTTTGCTTATGGGAAACTGGCAAGGAAAGTTGCAAGGCGATCAGAAGACCACAGGGCTCTGCAACCATCATAAATGAGTCTCTGGTAAATGAGGACTATCTGTAAACAGAATATAATTAGGAACTACGTTTGATGAATTAGAATTCTGTCTGGAAAAAGCTTTGGTGTGATGATTTGATGATCAATGCAGCTGTCAACCATGCACACAAAATCAGACAGTTTATTTTATGATCTACAGATCATAAAAATGCATAGCATTTTAAAAACTAAGAATACATAACTTTCTTGATTATAACCCTCAATGTCCTTAAAAGAGGTAACATAAATTTGCTTCCTTAATAGAAACTTTGCTAAAGTCACTTCAGGAATCTGACCACAGACATTTAACATAAAATTGATCTGATGTCCAAAAAAAAAATGTTAAAAATATGATTTACTAATTTGCATTATACCACTACATTAAATTTTGAGAAATGGTCAGAAAGATCAGTAGATCTTTAAATTTAAATCTCAGTTCTGGCTAAAATTGCGTTGCTATTATTGCTGTTTTTTTGTATCACTCTTCTTATCAGAGAAGGAAAAAAAACAGCTTACAAGAAAACAGTAGCAATAGTTACAACTGGGAGTTGCCACTGAGAAGGGTCTCTTCCTCTAAATCACACCTATCAATGAGATAAAAAGGGTGGGCCCAGCTCTTCCCACCCAATCTTACTGGGCCTGCAGAGTTACATACATACACATATACATACATATACGTGTGTGTGTGTGTGTGTGTGTGTGTGTGTGTGTGTGTACATACCGTATTTTTCCGTCTATAAGACGCACCCTTGTATAAGACGCTCTGGCATACCAGTTTCTCTGTGCTGATCAGCTGTTCGGCGGAGCTCCGAACAGCTGAGCCGGCAAATCCGGAAGTTCAGCCGGCTGACGATCTTGCCCGCTCCCCCCTTCCTGGGTGCAGGCTCGACACTTGCACCCGACGGCATGGCAACCCACACAGGCATGAACTGGACTGCAGAGGTTACCCATTATTTTTCTGTGTATAAGATGCTGCACTTGTATAAGAGGCACCTGATTTTTGAACAGGGTGTTTGCAGGAAAAAATAGCATCTTATACATGGAAAAATACGGTATATACCATTTAATCATGTCACTTGAGAATATGACAGCCACATTTTACTGTTGTTTATTATTAGATTTATAACCCATCTTTTATAAGAGGTGCTCAAGGCAACATATATGCTTATCCTCCTATCTCAGGGGCTGCCATAAAGAAGAGGGAATTAAGCTATTTTCTAAAGCACCTGAAGGCAGGACAAGAAGCAACGGGTGGAAACTAATCAAGGAGAGAAGCAACCTAGAACTAAGGAGAAACTTCCTGACAGTGAGAACAATTTATCAGTGGAACAGCTTGCCTCCAGAAGCAGTAAATGCTCCAACACTGGAAGTTTTTAAGAAGAGACTGGACAGCCATTTGTCCGAAATGGTGTAGGGTTTCCTGCCCGAGCAGGGGGTTGGACTGGATGACCTCCAAGGTCCCTTCCAACTTTACTACTACTATTATTATTATTATCCCCGTAACAATTGGGGGGGAAGAGGTAGTGGGGAGGGTGGGGAAGAGTGGAAAAGAGAGTGTGAGTGTCATCTATGAAATTCTGTGGCTGGAGTTCTTCTAGAAAGCTTAAGTTGTTGTAAGCTATCCAAGTTGTTTTTTCTGTCTGATGGGAGGCTATATAAATTAGATCAAACAAACAAATAAATGAATCTTTCTGCTTTCCTAAAGTAGTTCAACAATTTAACTACTATAACTGCTTGGTTATATTCCTGTAATACCTTGGCTATATTCTCTATTCCAGCTGCCATTGCTGGATTGCTTTCTTGGACAGACATTGCATAAATCAGGTGTGTCAAACTGCTGGCCCACGGGCCGGATGCCTCATGCAAAAACCCCACCCATCCCCATTGCCGGCAATGGAAAAAAATTCGTGATATGTCACATGTCATGTGACATTACAAGTTTGACACCCCTGGCATAAATTAATCTAACTAGGAGGCTATTAGGGAATCTCTAGGCTATTCTGGTTCAGACAGAGCTGTAAGATGGTGAATGAGACATAGGATACAAGCATTCCTTGTCCCTAAGGCCCTATTTTGGCCTATTTATCCAGGAGAGGATAATTCCCAGCAGCACCTAATTTTAATTTAGATAGAACCCCTTTTCTTTGGATTCCATTTCCTTCAGGCAACTGCCAATTATCTGCATAGCTACTTTTGATTCTGGTGGAAACCAGTGATAGGTTAAGGATTATCAGCCAATGGTCACTCTGTACTCCAGATATACAATGACAGCCCCCAGCAATTAAGGAAACATAAAACCCTACATGACCCCAGAACGCAATTGCTCTTGGGTTACAGATTTGCAAGTAAGAATGGAAACACTGCAACTTTCCAATTTTCACCTCTTAAAGTCATTCCACCAATATATATGAAGAAAGACTATGGGGAAATCACTGTGAATCAACAGAATAGTACTTTTTTTTCTCTTTAATCTTGCAAGACAGGCTAAGATAAATTTCAATTGTATTTTTTTTAGTTTAATCTTAATTCTTAGTTTCAAAATGAATTCCTCAGATATATATTACTCACCGGACTCTTGCAAATATCTATATACGAGGAAGTTAACCTCATCACTGCTTATACTCATCTTTATGCCCGCTTAAACCATGAGGTCACGATGAAGGATATAACCCTAAAAAATATAAAAAATAATATAGCATGTTAGGAATATGCAGTAAGTGTATTTAGGTCCAAAAACCTGATTCATTGCACATAATGTAATTGTGTCTAAAAAGGGACATTTTTCAATTCTAGTAAGAGAATAGTTAGGAGGCATCCAGGTAATGACCATGCACAAATAACAAAACAAAACAAAAACAAAACAACCATTTATTACTTTATCTACCCTACCTGTGTTTTCTTCAGTGAACGATTACTAGCATATGCATACTCATTAATAAGAGATGAATTTCTGTTCAGTAATCCACTGAAAAAGCTTCGCATTACATATATGAGGAATCATCATATCCATAAGTCCATGGGCATCTGGAACCTCCCTAGTCCTTCCAAAATGTTGCTGTTGTTGTTGATGATGATGATAATGATTTGAGCAAAATCTCATGAGATTTAGGACACGACTTCAGGAGTAAGATTGCCGAAATCCTGCAAACATCTTATAGGATTTGGGATAGCTTTAAAAAAGAAAAATATGTCAGTGTCCCTGCTATCATGTGAAATAGTGCAATGGAAATCTGCTGCCCACAAACACAGAAATATACATAAAATAACTGTTGAAATGGGGCATTATAAAAGCACATTTAGAAGATGCTTCTAATCAATCTTTGGAGAAGTGCATAAATAGGTCAAAATATGAAAACTGCAGGAATGGAAATAATTCAGTCTCAGACCTGTACTGCAGATGCTGCATTAGTTTTTGGTAAGCTTGTAGGTACAATTCAAAGAGCTGGTTTTCCCGTAATAAAGCCCTAGATGGCTTAGCTTCCAAGTATCTCCAAGATCGTGTCTTCCAGTTGGGACTGGCCTGACATGTGCGTTTATCATGGATGAAATATTCACCATTCCCTGCACACCTAAGACTGTGAGCTGCTACTGAAAATAATACTTATCCTTGGTGGCACCAATACTGTGTGACAGCCTCCCAGACAACTAACGCTCCACCAGTCCTGCCATCTTCTCTGGCTAAAGCAAAACATTTTCAAAACACCTTCAAATTCCATTTTGCTACCACGTAAATGAAGTTTTAGCACAACTATCATTATTATGATCCTACAAATATTACTGTTCAATTTTACTGGATTTCTAGTTTGATTTCTACTGTAAATTGCTGTGAATTGGTTCAATTCAGTGGCATACAAGTATAAAATTACTGAGGTCTATAGGAAAAAGGATTGGAGCGGGTAAGTGGAAAATTTAAAATACAAGTGCGGGAGAGAGAAAAACAAGCAAAGAGAACATGTCTGGTTTCCTAAAAGCTGTTTACAGGTTGTTTACATTGCATGTGTACACACACATACATACAATATATGTGTGCATATTTGGGAAATTGTAAGGGTCAATGATTTGACTAGCTTAGTGCCTGTTTCTAGTCCATCTTGTCTGACCTTAATGCTTAACAGGAACTGATTAATGCATGGATGGAAAACTGCAAGCAAATTCTAATATTTGGGGCTAGAATGGGAAATCAGAATAAAAGCACAGACACAGGCAATGACAAAGCACTTATGCTCTACTGCCAAAAATGCTACGTGGCTGTGTCCATGCTCATAAAGTCTCTAGAACCAAATTCAGTTCAAGGAGATTTTTTACCTTTCAACCATGTTTTGATTTGTATTCTAATCTTTCCAGCTATGGCAAATAACTCCTCGCTCAACCAATATTTTTGCAGTTTGCAAGAATATAAGCACCACAGTAGTCCCAAAAGCAGGGAAGGGAAAGGAATCAGCAAAACAAGATGTATAACTCAAAAGCACTGAAGGAGATGCTCTAGTTGATGTACGGGAATAGTTATTTATTCATCAAATATTAAATTCCCAGTGGCAGGCTAGGGATTTGGATGAAATCAACATTTTTAAATAAATAGCAGTCTGAAGGAAATCACACTCAACTAGTAAATATTTTTTTTTTAAAAAAAAAAACAACAACTGCAAAATGGTTGTTAAAATATAGCCATAGGAATTTTTGTCTTTTAGTGTACCGGGGGGGGGGGAGCGGGGGATTTGTTTACTATAACTATTTTTTTTAAAAGGTTAAGAGCCCCACCAATCACCCAGCCTCAATAATGTTTTCCAAAAGGTTGATCAAAGTGTTCTAAGAGAAAAAAGAAATGAGAGAATAAAATTGTATTATGAATATACATGATAAGAGGTTTCTATCAGAATGGACATGAGAGGGCAGTATGACATAAGTATTTGAAACAGCTAACAGCAAGTGACAAATCAAAGGAAGCTTGTGAACTAAACGGGGATTATTTTTTCCAGTGAGAGTATCACAGACTAACCTGATTAGAAAGGCCTAATCTACAGGTACTGATTATTTCAAGAGACATCCAAAATAAGCATGCCTGTCTTTGTCCACTGTGATCCTTTCATCTTTTGCATGCCTGAAGCAGCAAAGCACAGCAGAAATTCTTGCTTTGCCACAAGGTACATCGCCTGAACTCCAGCCTTAATTAAAATCTTATCCAAATGTTGCCTCAATTTTGGCCAAGAAAGGAGAATCAGGATTCTTCACAAAGAACAAAAAACCCAGAAATATAAAATGTGTTGTTTCAAGAATAGAAACCCACATGTGGCACCCTGGACAGCAAGAAACCCAGAGACACTTCTCTTGATGCCAGCTTTTTTTTTAAAGACTAGTTTAATTTTAAATCAAACTTTTAAAAGAAACTGGCATGCCATAACGTAAGGTGTTAGCTTCCAAAATCAGCTTTATTTTCAGTTGTCTTAAATTCCCCAAATTCCATAGGTTAGCTTTTTTTTTCCAGGCTGAGGGGATCAAAGCACTGCAAAAAAAAGGTGAGCATGGCTAGAATGAAAAAATACATTTTATTTAATTAATAAAATATAGTTCACATATAATTGTCCATAATTTCCCCTTCTTTAAAAAAATGGCGGAATTCAAAGGAGGCAACAGCCTATGACTCTGGCTTTCAGATTATGCATTGCTATTGTAAACATTCTTAAAAATTAAAGTGGTCATCACTGTAGCCCAGTGCTTTGTTTATAAGGACACCTACTTGTCTAGAAAATAAGCATATTTGATTGTTAGGATGCATCCGGGGAAAATAGAAAGGGAGGCAAAAAAATAGTTTGCCATCAATCACTAGTGTTTTGCAGCTGGCAGCCATTTTGTGAATGGGCAAAGCCAGCATGACAGCCATTTTGAGGATGGGCATGTCCATTCTTACACCAGTCAGTTTTCCTTTCTTAAAATGCCTACAATTTACAGTGCTAAGCTGTCAAATGTGCCCCTAGCTCAACAGTTTGGGATCAGTGTCTCAGGGACTTTTCAGAGACAGGTGTTTTCTTAGAGAGACAACCTTTCCCTTTTCACTCTGGTTTTTTCACCTGTAATTTTCACCAGAAAACATCCTGTAGCCTTACACTCGTTGCAGAATTAATTTGTAGCTTCCAGCCAGACAGGGATTGTCTACGTCTAATTTTGGGTCATGTCAAAATCTGATTAATTTGTTGAATAACAGGCTTATCACCCATAGATACATTAAATCACAACCATCCAGAAATCTGATGAGGTGGGAATATGTCAGAACACAAACAATCAAATCCTTATTAAAAAGGCATGTTTAATTCTTACATTATTCTATAAAAGTGGATCTTGGACACACACTCTCTCTTCTGAAATCCCATGTTGCAATGAAGGTCTTAAAAAGGAGAAGGGGCGTTGTCTTACCTGAACGCCTTTTCTCAGCAGGATGATGTAGAGTCCAAATGGATGGGTTCTATGACGGCCTTCCTGCCTGGCAGACTGGGTAAAAACTTCGGCCACACCCCTTCCTTTGGGCGTGACCCCAGTTTTGACTTAGGCGAGAAACTTTGTTGGAATTAACCTTGCAGCTCTTTATTATATCTTTATTATATCCCTGCCTAGACCTATCCTCTGGGTGGGCTTGGACTCTACATCATCCTGCTGAGAAAAGGCGTTCAGGTAAGACAACGCCCCTTCTCCAGCAGGATGACTGTAGAGTCCAAATGGATGGGACATACCAAAGCCCTCATGTCCCCCTGGGAGGGAATGTCTAGGCTACCGAACTCTGAGCAGATACGACCTGTTGAAGAACTCTTCTGCCAAAAGCCGCGTCTGCTGCTGCTAGGGAGTCTAAACGGTAATGTCGAATGAAAACCGAAGGTGAGGACCAGGTTGCGGCCCTGCAAATCTCCTCCACCGGAGCTTGCGTTAGCCACGCCGCAGATGTGGCTGCGCTCCGAGTTGAGTGGGCAGTCACCTGATTGGGTGCTGGCAAATCCTGTGAGACGTAGGCCTGCGCTATGCAGGCTCTGATCCACCTGCCTATGGTGGAAGAAGATACCTTCTTTCCCATAGTTGATGGTTGAAAGGACACAAATAATGCTTCAGTCTTTCGGAAAGCCGAGGTGCGTTTCACGTAGAAACACAGTGCTCTCCGTACGTCTAGCTTGTGCCATCTGTGTTCTAGCTTATGTTTGGGTCTTGGACAGAAATCAGGAAGCGTAAGTTCCTGAGATCTGTGAAAGGTGCTATTTACCTTCGGGATGAAGGTCGGGTCTGGTCTAAGAACGACCCTGTCTTTGAAAAAGGTACACAGATCCTTCCTTACTGACAGTGCTGCTAGTTCTGAAATTCTCCTTGCCGAAGTAATTGCCACAAGGAAAGCTACCTTCAGTGATAGGTGATGGAGTGAGCATGTTTCAAGAGGTTCGAAGGGTGCAGATGTCAAGGCTAGAAGGACCCTAGGCAGGTTCCAGGACGGGTACCTGTGTATGACTGGGGGCTTTGTGTTAGACGCCCCTTTTAAAAAGGCATTAATCGCTGGATGTTGTGCTAGGGAAGTTAAGTTGTCGCAGGAGAGTACGGTTGAGAGGGCCGATATCTGTCTGCGGATGGTATTGACTGATAGGCCCCTATTAAGACCCTCCAATAGGTAGTCTAGGATATTGGGGATAGATACTGCGGTCGGGTCTAGGTGAAGCGAAGCGCACCACCTACAGAATCCCTTCCATGTAGCGTCGTAAATCCTATTGGTGGACGCCCTTCGTGATGCCTGTATGATCGATATCACCCCTGCAGAATAAGATTGTTTAGTTAAGCTTTGCCGCTCAAATGCCAAGCGGCTAGTTGTAGCCACTGGGGATCTGGGTGTACAAGCTTGCCCTGACTGAGTTTTACCCTGTCCGGGGGAATCCTCCACGGAGGTGATATCGAAAGGTCCACGAGGTCGGCAAACCACGGGCGCCGTGGCCAGTGAGGGGCAATGCAGACCATTTCTGCGCCCTCCAGGATCATCTTGCGTATGGTTGCCGGTATTAGTGGCAGCGGTGGGAAGGCGTACAGGAGTTGCGCCGGCCACCGGCACCTGAGAGCATCCGTTCCCTCCGATCCCGGGGACGGGAATCTGGAGAAGAACCTGGGGAGTTGTGTATTCTTGTGGTTGGCAAATAGATCTAGGTGCGGTTGT